ACACACACATAAGCATACATAATCAAAAGTTTTATATATTTTATTTTATTAGGGACATTTACTCTTGTCTAAAGAACTACAATATGTATATAATGAATGTGGATAAATACATATTTAAATCATAAGAAAGTAATTCACTTTTATTATAGAAACAAACAAAAAGGAATAAAAAAGCAAAACGGAAAATCGGCGGTACTCTGTTCTCAACGGAATTCAGCATACATGAACAATTAGGACGAGAAATAAATTGTCTACTTTCACTGATTATTCAATTAGTTAATTGACTTGATTTTCAGTATTAAATAAACAAATCTTTCTGTGTTGTTTGACCACAGTTATTAGTTTGGGGACTTGCAGCCCAAATTCTCCTTACCCACAGCACGCCTGAAGAGCTCATTCATTGCTATACCTAAAGACGAGAACTGAGACTGTTCTAGCTCCTTGAGTGTGAAAGAAAGATGGATGGAGAATGATCAGAAAGAGGGGGAGACTGAATGCTTCCTTTAATACATACATAGTGCCTAGTATAAAATATGTAGGCATTCAAATGTTTGTAGAAGACACAAGGGTAGGATTGCTGTTCAGCACTACCTTGTTCTGTTTTGTTTTTTTGCTTTTAAAGACAAGTTCTAAAAATGATAATAAAATGTCTCTCATGCTCCCTCCTCACTCCTTACTTTACCTAACTCCAGCCCACCTTGCTTTTCTGCCCTCTTTCGCCAGTGCTGCCAGATTCCTCTTGGACTCCATCCTGCTCTCTTCTGGTACTTGGTTGCTTACTCTTCCTGAGCATGAAATAAGCTATGTCTCTGGGTCTTCCTTTTTCTTCTCTCAGCCTGGGATGCCCTTGGCTCCCTATCAGCCCCCTCCTTGACCCCCTGACCATTTCTACAAAACATACCCCTGCACGACTGGTCTAAGAAACCATCTCTGACCCTTCATCCCCAGGTATGACAAAGTTGTTCCCTTTCCTAGCATTGACTAGCATACACCGTGAGCCCTCCAAGTCAGGGACTATGTCTAATTATCTCTGTAATCCTAGAACTTAGGACAGACCAGGAATAAAATAGATCAGAGTAGATAGATGTTGACTTTTGGATGAAAATGGAAGGATAACAGCTGTATAACCATAGGATATCCTCCATGCAGTTTTTCCTGAATTGGTAATGGGTTTATATTGACTCACTCCACTGTATTGTTGGACTGGTGCCCAGATATCCTGAGTCTCAGCACAAATTCCTTTCCATGCATCACTGTCCACTTCATCAGGTACTCTGCAAGCAACCACCAACCAGCAATCGGCACAAGCCATATACGCTTACTCAGCGGTATAAAATCAGCACAAAGACACGCACAAGGGTTATAGGGCACTGCCTTCTTGTAATACCTATAACTCAGATGCAGTTACAGGATATACACAGGAACAAAAGAATAAGAATAGTAAGACAGGGCCTCTCTTGACAGCTCACATAGGCCTCATGAGAGACGAGGAACAAATATTCACTCCACATCACAGGGACAAACGTCCATGCCCGCAGGGTTAACCTCACACCAAGTATCGACAAAAGTTCTCTCCTCAACCTCTTGTCAGCCATCCTGGCAGACAGTTTTTGCACATCTTTCAGACGTTTCTGTTTCCAGGTTTCTAGAAGTCCAGTTTCCCCCCTGTCTTCAGATGCTGGCCTGAAGTCCAGCTGTCATCCAGATGTTAGTGGGGGCCTCTGCCCTCTGGCAAAGTGTTTCTTGAGTCCTTCTCAATAAATGGTATGTATTGTTAGTATCTGGAAATGAGGTGTGCCCGGCTAATGAGACTAAGTTTTATCCACTAGCAGGAAAGAGCACAAGCAGGGGAGAAAGCCGATCATATCCGATTATTAGAAAATCACCCCAGGATAGTGGTAGTGCGGAGGGTGGGCTGTGGCAGGGGAGGCTACAGGCATGACAATATTGAAGGAGGCTGCAGAGGCAAGGGACACAAATGATGAGTTTGGGCAGCAGGAAGTGGGAAGGAAAGAAAGAAGATCAACCTCAGAGGTATTTGGGAAGAGCATTCAACAGGGCATGGTGACCGATTCGTGCGGGATAGGGTAGGGTGGTGAGAGAGGTCAGGAGACACCTCCCAGATTTCTGAAGTAAGAGCAGCAAACAGGATGGCAAAATGATGAGATCAGCTTTGGTCATGCTGAGGGATCTCCCAGCGGACAGGTCAATCGGTCTGTGGGTCTGGAGCTCAGTAGAAATACTTAGAGGAGCTATAAGGACTGGGAGTTCATAGGCAGTAGAAACCTAAGTCATGGCGGGTGTATGTAACAGAGAGCAAACCAGCAAGGGGAGAGAATCTCAGGGAACACCAGCACGTAAGGGATGCTGAGAGAATGAATATCATCACAGCAGAGAGGAAACAGAAGTGGGAGACCTAAGAGGGCGTCTCCCTCCTTGACCCGGAACCTTCAAGGAGGGAGTGTAAAAGGCAGCAGCGAGACCAGGTGAGATAGAGATGATTTGGCAATGGGGGGGCGGGGTGACAGTTTTAGGGACATGGAAATGAGACTTCCACGAGCTAAGGAGTAAATAAGAAGTAGAGATAAATATAATCTACTCTTTGAGAAACTGGGCTTTGAAGGAATTAAAAAATGCCTGGCAATAGTCAAAAGGGAAGTGAAGGCAGTGAGGGGGTCATTGGAGTTAAATATGAAGAAGACACGGGTATATTTATATACTGAAAAGAAGTGGCTGCTGAAGGAGACGTTCACTTTCTGGAATTTTTCTCAGATCTCATCTCATTTCACCTACTCTATCCCCCCCACCCCCACTCTATTTTCAGTGGCTCTTCATCCCTCAACCCCCAGGCCCACCGCAGAGGCCTCACCTTTGCTGACCCACCTGAGGCCTGACCCTCCCCCTGACACAATCCGAGCAGTCTACCCCTAACCTTATACCCCACCATTTCAGTAAGAGGTGCTGCTGGTACTGCTTCATCAAGCTGGGAGCGGTTGGAGACCTCTGGAACCCTCCTGATACCTGGCCTGCTGACATTCCTCTTCCCAGGAGCCACCATATGTCTGCAGTTGAACAACACCCTGTGAGGCACACGCTCTACACTGGCCCAGCTGAGTATCCTCTGTAGCTGGCGGAGATGAACACAACCCCACACGCCCACTGGTTCACAAACACACCAGCCTGATGCTCTTCCTGCGCCTCTACTGCACCCAGTCCCTAGAGGAATCCGGACAAGTCACCAGAAGCTCCCTGCCAAAGCCAGAGAAGAGTAAAGCCAGCCTGCACATAAGCGGACAGGTGGGACAGTGTCCAAAGCAGTCCGTCTCTGGAAACACATCCAGGCAAACACACCACCAGACAAACGCACCACCTTGAACTTCATCTTCAGTTTTCAGGTCTCACTTGGGACAGAAACTCTAAAGATGAGCTATAGAAAGGTGTGAATGTCAGAGAACAATTAGGGGTGTGAATGGGACACTTTCTTTTCCTACTCCAGATAATAGTAAGCACAGGGTCATCTGATGTCAGTCCATGAATCAAATTGCCCAAGTCACAGCTATGCCTGAGGGAACAGGCACAGCAAATACGTTCTCCCTCATGGGGCAGTCTCATGGACTGAGCAAGGGGGAGGGGCTGGGAGACAGGCGCTGTCTCCACTGCTCATGTTTCCGCTTGATCATCGCACCCCCTGAATGGAGACACATAGCCCCACTGTCACCTGGAGGATCCCAGATCTGCCTCATCTGCCCTTTCCCTCAGCATCCCCAGGATCTAGGACAGCTATAGAATCTTCTACAAGGTATTTTCATATAGGAGGGCAATATCACACCTGATACTGCATCATGTGTAAGTAGTGGTGCCACAGCTCACACATTTCTGCAGAGCACAGGAATATATTCTCCAGGCCCCAAACCAAGACACACACACACACACACACACACACACACACACACACACACAGCCATCCTCTTGTGGTGAATTTCTACAACTCTTCCTTCCCAGGAAATAAATTTAGGCAACACTGGGACTCATAGATTCTAATCAACTTACAGAGCACAGAGGCTACATATTTATTTGTGTATCTATACCCCACCCCACCTGTCCCTGCCCCCAGAAGGCTTCAGGCTGTGCCTTTAAACCTGTACCCACCTCTTATTTTATGAGACAAAATACATTGAAGTGGGAATTTCAAGTTCTAGACCAGTGCTATTCAATAGAAATTTCTGTGAATATGTTCTATACCTGCACAGTACAATATGGTTACCAGTAGCCACTACTAGATACATGGCTTGATACATGATACCTGATATATGGCTGGTACCATTGAGGAACAGAATTTTTCATTTTATTTTAATTAATTTAAATTTAGCCACACATGGCTAATGGCTAACATATTGGACAGTGCAGCTCTAAATAATTCCAGACAAACAGATTCTAACACCAGAGTAAAAAAATGAAGGTTTTCAGAATGGTGGGAGCTGGCTCTCAAGGAGAGGGACGGGTCAAGACGCGCTGAATATTGATTGAAGCTGCTTTGGGTGGGTCACTGCCCGCCCCAAGGGGAACCATGGTAGGATGCTCAGAAGCAGCTGAAGATGAGCTTGAGAATCAGGCAGGGAAAAGACGCGTCCTAATGGGGTCCTAATGGGGTCCTAATGGGGTATGGGATACGGAAATGAAGCAAAAGGAGGTGTAGAGATGGAGGTGGAGGAGGTGCAGGGAAGAGATACCTCCCTGTGAGATAACTACTAACACCAGGCCTGGAGAGTTCTAAATCCACCTTAGTCCCTTCTCCCCGTGCCCCCATCACTGTAAATTTTAATGGAAGGATCATTAAATATCTCCTAGAGCAACCCACATTCTGCAGAGTAATAAACTGAGGTCCAAAGAGGTGACTGGGCTGTCCAGCGTTATATATTTAATCTGTAGCAGAATCAGGACCACAACCGCATCCCCACTCTCACCCCCACGCACCCTCCTCCCACCCTCAACCAGCTCCACTACAAAAAGGTTGAGCTTCGGAAGGAGAACTGCAGGTAGACAATGAGCAGGCACAGTGAGGCCCAGAAGAGGCCCCAGCGAAGGGAGAAGAAGTTGTAGCCCGATGCCTCCTGGGCCCGTGGCTTGGAGGCACCGGAGAAGGTCACGTCCTCCTCCAGCAGCTTCTCGCTGGGCTTCCAGTGCACGATGCCCTCCTGACAGGCCTCGCAGAACTCGCTGCGGTGAGGCCCGCCATCCCGGCGGCCGGCCACGTGGATGCGGTACTGGCCGCCGTGCTCCCCGTAGCACTGCTCGTGCAGGCTGGTGATGAGGTTGTCCACCAGGCTCTCGATGTTCACCTCCAGCATGCTCGACTCGTCCAGCCGCGCCATGCCACACTCGTAGCACAGCTGCTTGAAGACGCACATGCGCACCGAGCCTGCCCGCTGGGCGCGGTCCAGGTACATGTGGAAGAGGATGACCACGTGGGGCGACTGCCAGGTGTGCCAGCACCAGGAGCAGTGGAACCTGCGGGGGAGGGAGGCAGGGATGGAGAAGGTGGGCCTCCCTCCCAGCCACAGCCGGCCTGGAGGAGCCTGGAAAGGAGGAGCCCTGTGTGCCTATACCTGGAAGTTGAGGCGGAGTGTTTACCGCCCCGGGGGTACATTAGTGCCTGAGCAGGTGTCTCAGCCTCCTCCTGGTGAGCTGCCCTCGGCCTGGAGCAGCATCCTCAGGAGCCAGATGCTGGAGCCATCTGGCTTCCAGCAGAGCTCTCTGCCTGCCTCCTGCGGGCCCTCCCCTGGCCTTTGTCCCCCCCAAGCCTAATGCACTCAGGACATGGGTCTGGATGCTGCACGGGGTCACTCCCCCCAATCTGGGCCTTATTTCTCATCTGTGAAATGCGGATAATTGTGTCCAATAAGCATCCTACTGCTCAGACCTCCCATGACTCTGATAAGGGGGATGACCACACATCTCACTCATGCATCCTGTCTATTCTGGGGCAAAGAAATGCCTCTAGCTGTCCCAAGCACAGATCACCAAGAATCCACCGGATGGACAGGTGGATGGGTGGCGCACCAGCAGGGGGAGGACTACAGAGTTTGGTCCCTGCACCTTCACAAAGAACACTCTCCTGTCCCTTGACAAATCATCCCTAGATCCCACTGCAGGCCCACAGAAGAGACTGGAAAGGTGTATCCTGGTGTGCATCCCCCTCCACACACACACACACACGTACATTTACATACACACAGGCCACTTTGTCTAACCTGGGCCCCTTCGAGTTCCAGCCTCAGGAAACATGGAGGGAAGTGGCCTGGGACGCATATGGCCTAGGCTTCATCTCAGCCCCCACCCAGTGCTGGCACCCCTTCAGTGGCAGAGAACTCATTACGTCCAGTGGCTGTTCCTTCCATCCCTGAGATAAAGCTCTTCCAGGCCCCTGTTACCAAGGCTTTACAGGCAGTCCAGGGTCCACTGGGTTGAGTCTGCCCTCACTGCTAACCCTCTATGGGATCCCTATTGACGGCCCTGAAGGACCTCTGATGATGAACTCAGTTCAGTCCAACAGACACCACCCAGCACCTACTGTAAGCCAAGCACCACGCAGCGCAGCGGGGTGGAGATGAAGCCAAGCCTGGCCCTGAGCCCTGGGGCCCACAGACAACATAAGCGCAGCACAGGACCCAGTGCAGCCCAAGGCAGGATTGGCAGGCCAGAGCATCCTGATTGGTCCTGAGCCAGAAGGGGAGTGTCCCCCTCCATCCTGCCTCCCTGTGCTAGGCCAGGGCTGCAGGGCACCAGGGTTACAATGCTTACAGGTAGGGTGAGCCTCTGCACAGAATATGCACAAGGGTGATGCCTCTCCAGCCCTGCCTGAGGCCAGCTGGGAGCCACAGATCACCAGCCAGGAATAGGACCAGCTGATCCCTGAGGCAAGAGGAGCCACGAGCCTACGAAGCTCAGCCCCAAACCCCTGGACCCCTGCACCTGAGTTTCCAACCCTTTGCACCCCTCCCACCAGCCAGCCTGGAGCTTCACATCTTCAGTCCCCTCCTTCTGCACCTCTTTAAATCAAGCCAATCCAGAGATGTTTCCCCTCCCTCAAGCCACACCTCAGATCTTAAATCTCAAAGCATCAGACCTAGTAGGAAGGGACCTTAGGATATCTAGTCAAACTTTTATTTCATTGAGAGAAAGAGCCCTCTGCACACACAGCTAGTCAGAGACAGAGCCGAGACCCAGCCTGTAACGGGTGCCCAAAAGATGTCTCTTGAATGGATTTGAATTGAAATGAACCAACCAACCTCTGCCTCTCTGACTTTTGTCCCAAAGGCAAGTTCACTCTAATATTTGCAGCTCTTGGGGCAGGAGTACAGGTGTAAGCTCCTCACCCACGGCCTGCCTCCTTCTGTTCCCACCGCCAGCACAAGGAGCTTAGCATGAAAGCATGTGTGAACAGCGCAGTCTGTGTGTCCACACCCCCAGGACACAGCCCCCTGTTGCCCTCCCCAGGGGCCTAGGGCTACTGTCTGTCCTTGATTCAATGGACCCAGGGAAGAGGCCCATACAGATCCTGGAGATGAGCTTGAGGCAGCTTGGGCAGTGAATTCTGAGGCCCCACCCCCAAGCCAGGCTCTAGAAGAGGGAGAGGCTTCAGATGGACGTCTTGACCTCAAGGACTCCTTGCTTTATGATAGACATGCAGCTCCTATAATGTATGTGATGCTGGGCCATAAGGACCTACCAAACTCCTGCCCAAAGCTTTTTGTCACAGACCTATATGTAAAAGAACTGGAAGGGACTTGATTGATCACCTAAGGCCAACTCTCTAGTTTTGCAAATGTGAAAACTGAGACCGCGCAGGGAAAAGGACTTGCCCAGGTTCACACTTAGTTAGCTGCAGAGCCAGTTTCTAGAACATGGCAGGTGGACAACAAGTGTTTTTTGTATTCAAATCTAATTGCACTGAGTTGACTGAACGGACCTAGGACCAGAGCTAAGGCTTTCCCCAGTGGACCTCACGGCCTCCTCCACTCAGTTCCTACCAATCTTTAACAAATTATGAAAATATGAAAACATTTAAAATGTCAGAGATTGCAGAAGCATTGAAGAATTACAGTTCTTTATTTACCATGGAAAACCCAGACCCAAAGACAGAATACAATTTGTCAGGGGCGTCCAGGAGTCAGTGGTACAGCTGGGACTAGAACCAAGGCCGGTTCGACGCACCTGGCAGTTCCTTCTCTGCCCCCTAGCCTGAGTTGACCCCCGGATGGGGCTCCACGTATCTCTGCCTCCCCTTGGAAGGTGCCCCCAGGGCTGTGCCGCAGGGCTCTCCGCAGCCCGCCACAACCTTCCTCTTACCTGCCGGAGGCATGCTGCTCCAGGTACTGCTTCCAGCCGGGGGCCAGCTCATTGGGCTTGAGGTTGGGGTCTGTGATGAGCTCCCAGCTGTCGGCCGGCTTGGCCGCCTCCGTCTTCTCGTAGAAGACTTTCTTCCACTCGCGCGTGGTCAGGCTAGTGCACACGGTCCTGCTGGCAGGGCTGGAAGTTTGAGCTCAACCTGAGTGAGAACACAGAAGATGGCCAGGTAGGTGCAGGGCAGTGCAGTCCGTGAGGTCTGAAAATCCTCCTTGACAGGACCAGAAGGAAACAGGACTGAGCAACTTCCTTTGTCACCTGGAACCTGTTACCGTGGCAGCTGGAGCCGGGGCTGGGGAGGAAGGAAGTCCCAAAGGAGCGTTCCAGGGCCCCGAGCTAGGCTGGGGGAGCAGGGCTGGGCAGTGACATAAGTGCAGCAAGCAGTACACGCTGACCCAGGCCTCCAGGAGTCTCCAGGAGGCAAGGACAATTCGCTTCACGCCTACTGTTCTTCCACGCATTCTCCACTTCATGTGCTGTGGTGACTGTGACACCCTAGGGGACCAAGGAGAAACAAGGATGGGGAAATGCCCCCTGATGTGCTGGGACCATCATTTACTGTGTGCCAAGTACTAGCCCCTTGACCTGTGTGCTGGCCAAGGCGGGGATCATTCTCTCCTTCATCCAGATCAGGAAGCTGAGGTTTACACACCTCTAAGTGGTTCATCCATGACTCAGATTCAGGCCTTCCAAACCCAAACTCATGTTCATTTACTGCAGTACTATTGCGCTCCTGACACCTGAGGATTGAGAGAGAAGTAACATGCGGTTCCCTTGCTTGGGGAGCTCGCAGACCAGTTGGCGAGATAGAATGTAACTTCATGTGCTGTGAGAAGCACAGTAATAACAATGTAGATTCATAAAGTCCTAGAACCGTCAGAGCTCCTGTTTGGTTCCTGGTCCCAGGCAGCTGCTGGGGGAGCAAGCTGGTGCTGTGCGGACGGCTGCTGCCTCCTCCATTGCTCCTGAAAGAGGCAGGTGATAGGGTGCCCACAGCTCCCTGATGCCCAGTTTAAATCCTTTAGGAACTAGAAGGGAACTTGGCTCCAAATTTGCATAATCCAGCTGGAGGCACAGTCCGCGGTGAGAGGCAGCCTCAGCAGGGAAAAGACCAGGTGACTTGGCAGCTGCTCCCAGCTCTGCCCCGAGGTCTGTGCCATCCTCAGATCCAATCATTTCCCGCAGTGGAGCTCAGTCTTCTCACGCACACAGGGGAGGCCATGCTAGCTAACATCTAAGGGCTCTCCTGGCTGCAATCATCTTACGGTTCTTCAACCCGGAAATCGGACCACAGAGCAAAGAGCGTGCAGCCTTAAAACGGGCGGTACCTGCCTCCCAGTGCTGTTCGCCTAGGGAGGGGCCAGGAGGAACACCATTGGAACCTTTCTTGGAAGGGGGAAGTGTCCTCCACTAGCTGTGTGCAGAAGACCTCAGAAAGGACACAAGTCTGTCTTAGAGCCCTTGACTGAGAGCACTAGAAAGGCCATTTATTTATTTATCTTTTTAGCACTCAGACACAGCTTTGCTTTATTTATTTATGTATTTTTTCCCACACACACAATGTATTTTATTTTTACAAGCGATAATAAACTGACACCAAGCATTGTAAATGGAGGCCATTTTTTTTTTTTTTTTTTTTGGGGTAGGCCGGCCCCCACTGCTGTGGTCTCTCCCGTTGCGGAGCACAGGCTCCGGACGTGCAGGCTCAGCGGCCATGGCTCACGGGCCCAGCCGCTCCGCGGCATGTGGGATCTTCCCAGACCGGGGCACGAACCCGCGTCCCCTGCATCGGCAGGCGGACTCTCAACTACTGCGCCACCAGGGAAGCTCCTATTTTTAAAAATCTGATTTCCTCATTGTACTCCTCATCTCTTACCTGAAACCTCCTGACCCTGAATTAAGACAGCTCAGGCCCACAAAAGGGAAATTAGTCGGCCAAGGAAATTACTGGCCTCAGGACCGGGCTGCTCACTCCTTGCTCACTCCCTCTCAGCAGTCAGCTTCCAGCCAGGAGAGATGGGGGTTCCCGTGAGTTCCTGGGAACCGAACCAACTGAGGAGCTTATGGCCCAGTCAGGAGTGAATCTCTGGGAGACATTGTGTCATTGTTCCCAGAACAAATGACAATGAAAAAAACCCTAAAAGATAGCGGGTGGAATTGTCAGGGTTTACCTGCTTGCTTTTGCTCAAATGATGCAACCCCTTAGGCCTAGAATCAGACTTAATTTGAGTGGGAGCCGTCTCAGAAGAGACCAGTTGTCATCTTTCTGTGCCACCGCCCTGCTTTCTCTCAAGAAGAAACGCTTGCTATACAATCAGTGAGCACAATTACAGCCTCACTTTTCTACACATGGGTTGCTCCAGGAATCCCAGGGTAAGAGCTCACTAATGTATACATGTGTGTAGCTGTGGCCACACCACACACTGGCAGCTTCACTACGCATTGCTGCCATATTTTTTAATCCAGATAATACTTCAAAACATAAAGGAATCTGTATTCCTTTATAAAATTAAACACTATGTGCCTGTATTCTGCAAACAAAATTGGCAAACGGGTGGGGGATGAAAGAACCATTCCCCCTCTCCAATTTGGAAAGTAGGTCAATAAATACCTTTGTAAAATAATCATTATTTATATGTTACTTCTTAGAATAATAAGGAATGTCAATGGGGAACCTAAAAATAAAAGTAATGAAGAGTGAGGGAGGTGAACAGATATCCCTGGGGGCTTTTGAAAACTCTATGTACACTTACCCTAGAGATTTCAATACATGGTCTTGAGGGGGATATACCCCCTCCACCCATTCTGGTTCTGGAAAGACACCCTCATTGACAGCCATTGTTACTGATGGGAATATGTTGTCCCACAGGCATCTTGGTGCCAAAAAAGAGAAAGAAAAATGAAGGTTGGGTAAAACTGAGATAGTGGTTCAGGATATTTCTTTACTTAGAAACAAATCCAGGGGAAATGCAAGCTGAGTCCTGTCTTCTCTTTCTCCACAATTCAAGGAACCAAGGAAGGTGCTACAGGGCAAAGCAAAGGTCCCAGGGGGAATCTTTTCACTAGCGGTTAGGATGGCCTCTCCATCCCCAAGACGCAGTGCTCAGAGGCAGCATGGTCCAAGCTCCACTCTGGGCGAGAGGTGACCTCTGAGTGTCAGGGCATTCACATGGTCAGACCAGCCCACAGCTCTCAAACAGTGTGTGTAGTGAAACACCCTCTGGGGAAGATTTCACGCCTCTCTGTTATCAGTTGGCAGCAGACAGGACAAGAGCAGGCAGGCAAGATTCTATTCCTGCTGGTTTTCAAAAGTCCAAATTCTATGGGCCATGCTTCCTAGGCAGCCCAAAGTCTGTATTAAGGGTGGCCATACCTACTGTCACTTTTTTTCAGGGCCTTTTTATGTTAGGCAGAGATTCGGTGAAGAATTGTCACACTATCTATGGGAAGAACACAAATAAAAAGAGGGAGGTGGGAGCAGGGGGCGCTCTACACAAGGAAAAAAAAAAAAAAGAGGATGGGGTTTGAATAAGTGAGTTAGTGGTTCAGGAAGGAAGACTATAGAATTCTCTGCTGAAAAGAGACAGTCGGACTCAGAAGATCTGGAGATGCTTTCAGCAGGTGCAGCCAGTGCTGACTTCTGTCCAATAAGTAGAGGGCCTCCGTCAGAGTCCCCTAACTATACTGAGAACCTGTCAGTTTCTGATGAGCTGAGGCTCAACACGCACAAAGAACCATGACTCCGCCCTGGGACAGTCATGGCAGAGCAAAAAGGAAGCTTGGGAAAGCTTATGCTGGCTCTTAAAGCTCCCATTCTGAAATGACATTTTTCACTTCTCCTCACATTCCATTGGCCAAATCAAGTCATGTAGCCAAGGCTGCAATTGGGCAGGGAAATATATTTTGCCAAAGGAGGGAGGGGGGCACCTTAGGGAGTGGTACCGAGCACTTTGGACTCAGTAAAATAAAAATAAAAATAAAATCCATCACAGCATCCACCTGAATGATGGGCACCCTCCTGGAACAATGGAGCTAAACAGATTTTATGGTGCAGTGTAGTCAGAAATCCTGAATTCGAATCTCTAACTTCTCTTAGACCTTCTCTGTGACCTCAGTGAAAGGGAGACCTGTAGAGGATGGAGACCACATGTCCTGAGTTCTCCAGAAGGATCTGCATTTCAAGGCCACTGCGATGTTTCCCAGGAGAATACGTACTTAGCAGACCATGGGGAACTGCGGTCAGTATAAGTTGTTGAACCGTACTGCAGACCCTTGAGAATCCAGCCCCAAAGTCCTAGAAAAATGGCTTTCCTAAATTCCCTTGCATAGTTGGACAGAAAGACATATTTGTAAAAAGGGTAATTAACAAAATAAAAGCATGCACTTCAACACCACAGATTCTAACCACCACCAAGACTGTTCCAGAGGCAATCATACCTGAGGTTGGCAGCGAGGATGCTACTCTGTCTAGTTCCAGTTCTTGGAGGACAGGATTATAAAGACCAACCTTTCTGCTGACCACAACTAAAAAATGCTGCTTAAAATATTGTTTATAAAAGCATTAATTATATAACAAGATCCTTTTGCACCATTAGGGCAAAATCTACATGAAGGCAGGAACCCAGAAAGACGAGCAGAGTGCTAAAGCTGCTTTTACTCTGAAGACACTTGTCAAATCAGATGAAATAGAGCCACTGTATTTATCCCTTCAGAGGACCCAGGACAACAGGAGACACAGTCTAGGGTCCACCTAAGGCAGGGAGCATAATAAGAGACCCTCTGCCCAGAGGGCTGGAACCAGGAAGGGCAACACCTCCAGTGTAGCAATGAATGGGAAGCATCAGCCCCAGCCACTCCCAGAAGACTGCAAGGATAATTGCCTTGACCATGAGGAGGAAAACGTATTGTTTAACTTCAGAATTGGATAAACACTTATAATGATATGGGGATAATTACTAAATGAATAGGAAGAGAATATATCTAAACTTTCATCCTAATAGAGAGAAAATAATATAATTATTAGAAAACATATAATCCAAAAGAAAACAAGAAAGAAGAGAGGGAGAATCAAACTACAGTGAGACATGAATTCCCTGGCAGTCCCAGTGGTTAGGACTCTGCGCTTCCACTGCAGGGGACACAGGTTCAACCCCTGGTTGGGGAACTAACATCCCGCATGCCGCACAGCGCGGCCCAAAAAAATGTAGGAGAAGAAAAAGAAGAAGGATCTTTAAACAAAATACAGTGAGGCATAGATAACAAAAAATCAGATAATGGCAAATAGATTAGCAAATACATTAAGTATAAATAAACTGAATGTCCAGTTATAAGGCAAAGATTGTCTGACTGAATTAAAAAAAAACATCCAATGACAATCCCAACAGAATATCATTAGACACCCACCTGACAGGCAAAAATGAAAATGCGTGATCAAGCTAAGGACTGGTGATGTTAACAAGTAACATGAACTGCAATGTGCGGTTGGTGGAAATTTACATAACCCTTTTGGGGAAGTTGTCACTGCCTTGCAAGGCTGAACATTCAAGAACCCTATGATCTAGCCATTATACTCTTGGGTGCATATCCTAGAGAAACTCTTTCACATTTTCACTAGATTACACCTATGATCACGTTCACACATCATGTTTGGAAGGATCCAAATCACATTCCAATGCATTTCGTTCCACTTCCCTCTACCCTATTCCATTCCTCTACATTCAATTCTATTCCTCCCCAGTCCGTTCTATTCTGTTCCATTTCCCTTTACAAATGTCCATCAACCGAAGGATGGACACACACACACTGGAACACTACGGAGCAATAAAATTAAGTTACTTCTACTCACATCAACGTGATAAAATTTCATCTTACTCCTTTTTCTCCACTTCTATCATGTTGATGTGAACTGAAAGAGGACTAGAAAAACCATCATCCCCCTACCCTGAGAAAAGCTTGGGCAGGTGAGCAAAGGAAATTCAAATAAGGAAATAATGAGACAGTGCCTGGCAAACAGCAAGCTCTTAGTGAATATTCCAGGTTCTTCTTCCACAGCACCTGCCATACTATCATTGTATTTCCTCCACAAGTCCAATTATTCTTTGTTTTCTCCAATGACTAACAACACCTTACATAGTAGGTGCTCAGTAAAATTTGTTTAATGAATGAATAGTGGTGAGACTTAACTGTATATAACCTTTACAATTTAGATTGAATGTAAATTTTACTAACACAGGAACCATAAAAATATGTCCCTACAGATCCCATAGCATATGGAATTACATATTATAGAAGTACAATAGGTGTTGTGAATTCCATTCACTTCACAGCAACAAAGATTCTTTTAACATCCATGACGTGCTAGGATGGAAACGAAGTGCCATGGGGGACACATAATTACGTGATCTGCCCACATGGGCAGGAAACAGCCCTCAAATGGTGGGATTGAAGGGGCGCTCTAACACCTGTAGCTTCTTGGAATTAGGTTTACGATGCACAGGTCTGGAAGATTATTCTTCCAGGCACTGTAAGCTTAACACAATGCCAGTTATCAGAAAGGGGGAAAGCCCTGAACCTACTGAAAACTACCCTCAAAGAGGATATCTAATTTTTAAATAGAATTTTTATTTCACTCAGACATATCAGACTCGTCAGCCACTATGTATATAATGGACATAAAATTTCTAGTATTATTATTAAGAATCTTTCTGATGCAGCACTCAGAACTCTTGGTTTTAAATTTGGGGCAAACTGCCATTGACCTTAGTGTTATAGGCCAAAGAGAATGCAAGACAGGTGTTCTTTTTTTTAAAGATCTTTACTTCAAATAAATTAATTAATTTATTTTTGGCTGTGTTGGGTCTTCGTTGCTGCGCACGGGCTTTCTCTAGTTGCAGCGAGCGGGGGCTACTCTTCGTTGTGGTGCGTGGGCTTCTCATTGCGGTGGCTTCTCTTGCTGCAGAGCACGGGCTCTAGGCTCCCAGGCTTCAGTTGTTGTGGCTCGCAGGCTCTAGAGCACAGGCTGAGTAGTTGTGGCGCACGGGCTTACTTGCTCCGATGCATGTGGGATCTTCCCAGACTAGGGATCGAACCCGGGTTCCCTGCATTGGCAGGCGGATCCTTAACCACTGCGCCATCAGGGAAGTCCAAGACACGGTTCTTAAAACACCGTTTTTTACATGTATCCAACTCAGCTTCAAGTTCACTAAATCCTTTCTCATCTTTTCTTTTCTTAATATTAAAGTCTTTACATTTGTCTTTCCTCCTTTGCAACACTACAAGTTTTTCCTCTGAGCACACAGTATATTTGGATAAATATGTGCACCACACATATTTAAAAGAGACTTCCAGAAGGGGTGATGCAAACCCTTGAAGAATGAGCAACTGACAGCTAAACAAAGAAGGGGGATAAATGTATTCAAAGTAGAGGAAACCATTGGCAAAGACTTCAAGGATGAAATAATCTAGAATCGTTCTTGAAACTTCAACGAGAGATATGTGGGACCTGGATTATAAAGGATTTTTCAATGTCATGCAAAGCATTAAGACTTTGTCTTAAAGGGAACGTGGAATCGCGGGAATCATTTTAAGCCTGAACTACCTGATCAGATTTGCACACCAATAGTGGGCCAGTAAGGGCATTGCTCTCTCCTCCTTTCCCCAGGAATGGCTGGTGCTTCAAAGTGCTGCTCCCATGACACTGTAGCCCTGGGCTCTGATCTGTCTAACTTCTTGCAAATCCACACCCCTCTGCAGGAGGGATGGGGAGAACTTTCACTCTGTCATACAAAAAAAACTCTAGAGAGTTTTGCTCTGCCAGTTCAGACCTACTGGATTCAGTGT